GCGTGTGTTCGGAAGGTCACAGCGTGTGTTCGGAAGATCACAGCGTGTGTTCGGAAGATCACAGCGTGTGTTCGGAAGATCACAGCGTGTGTTCGGAAGATCACAGCGTGTGTTCGGAAGATCACAGCGTGTGTTCGGAAGATCACAGCATATGATCGGAAGATCACAGCATATGATCGGAAGATCACAGCATATGACAGGAAGATCACAGCATATGACAGGAAGATCACAGCATATAATCGGAAGATCACAGCATATAATCGGAAGATCACAGCATATGATCGGAAGATCACAGCATATGATCGGAAGATCACAGCATATGATCGGAAGATCACAGCATATGATCGGAAGATCACAGCATATGATCGGAAGATCACAGCATATGATCGGAAGATCATCTATGCATATAGATTAGTCATATATATAAGTTGGAGTGTAATTACTTAATTAGAATGTATAAAAAAATATGTTACTTATAATGACTCTTCAAAAAAACAAGGAATTTAAATGTAGAGTGTGTATTATGTACAGCAATACAGAAACAGAAGTGTTGAAGTTATCTATGCTGTTAATTTAAGTAGAGTGATCAGACCTTTATATTCACAACCTTAACACTATTGTTAATTTATTTATTATGAACTTCAACAAAATTTACCAATCAACCTGATTAGTTAAATTGCTAGAAAAAAAAATCACCAAAAACATAATTTTTGGAAGATTAACTGTGAAATCTATACAGGCCAACTATACATACTGATTAACCATTTATATGTGTTTGATAGCATTCAGTTGTTGGAATTATGGCACCCACAAAAAATTTCACAGTGACGATGTTGGATGACAGACTTTTTGCCACTATCATGACCTTCCCTACATTATGGGCATGCCAACAAAACGAAAGCAGACAATGCATTTCCTAAGGAATTTGTCTGATTGTATTTGGACCAAACCATTCTGAACCATAGAAGAGCAAGTTTAATATTAAGGGACTTACCTGTGCACCATTGTAACCAAGCCAAGGCTCCTCACCAAATGTAAACATTTCCCACAATGCAACACCAAACATCCATGTGTCACTGGCATGAGAAAACTGACGCAACTTCAGACTTTCAGGTGCACACCTAAACAACCAAAACATCAGTGAAAATTATTGTGTTTAGACTACTATATAGTAGAGACCCCACTGTTAGTACCGACTAATGGGCACGCCCAACATACTAGGAATATACCACAAGCCAATGGGCACCCCAACATACTAGGAATATACCAATTGCCAATGGGCATGCCCAACATACTAGGAATATACCACAAGCCAATGGGCACACCCAACATACTAGGAATATACCACTAGCCAATGGGTACCCCCAACATACTAGGAATATACCAATTGCCAATGGGCACCCCCAACATACTAGGAATATACCAATTGCCAATGGGCACCCCCAACATACTAGGAATATACCAATTGCCAATGGTACCCCCAACATACTAGGAATATACCACTAGCCACTGGGCACACCCAACATACTAGGAATATACCAATTGCCAATGGGCACCCCCAACATACTAGGAATATACCACTAGCCAATGGGCACCCTCAACATACTAGGAATATACCACTAGCCATTATTTTTAACTGTCATTTCTCAGTAGACTAAGCAGCAATTTATACCTTTTAGCTCAATAATAATAGCAAGTGAAAGTACCAAATCTCATTTTCAGTTCTTTTTTTTCCTTCAGAACAAAGTCTCTGGATGCAGCAGTGTTGCTAGACATGTCAAAAAATTACATGCACGTAATAGTAACACTGTATACAATGACAAGATTTCGCCAAGTGTCATCCAAGAGGGCGGTTAAATAATCTGAGCTGGTCAATACTGAGATTTAGCTTGCCATTTCTTACTCTGTACTAAACATTTGTGTAGGTTTACCTAGTGCAGGATAACATTAGTGACCTTCTAGCCCATGTACACAACTGTGAGTGAATGCAACTAATGAGTTGGTACAAGGGATTATTGTGTGAATTCCTAAATATACACTGTCAACCAATCAGTGATGACATAACTGTCGTTACTGTGGACAATTTCAGCTTACAGTGGCAATGTTTGGGAGCATGAATTGAAGCAAACCATATCAGCTACATAGATGCTTTCATAAATACACAAATAATGGATATTTATGGATAACTGGGTAAATTACAAAAAACTAAATAAAAATACAAACATGTACTGAATACAGACACAACAACATGCAGTCGAAATAAACAAATGAACATCAAATGGTTCATCAAAGTGAGATTCCAACTAGTGGAAATAGATCAACTGAAATATGAAAATACAGATACAAAAAATTCGAAAGTAATTGGAATAATTTGAAGAATTCTTAATGCCACATTGAACAGAGGGAAATCATCTGAGATGGCATATCCCTTGACATTGTTTTCACAATAAAGTCCTTCCCAGTGGCACATCGAAAAGCCTTAGGAGGCATGATTACCATACTGTAGTGATATTGATAGTATTCACAAAAATGCAGTTAATAGAAAGCTTCACTTAATTATGGAACAAGTTGGACTTAGAGCATGTCAAAGTGACATGTAATACTATGAATGTCAACTGAAATAATTGTGTTCATGTATCAATCATATCGAATAGAATAAATTCATTACCATGGATACGGGATTTTTTTATGCTCTGTCATGATGTAATGGTCTTCCTGTGATGTAAGTTCTCGCATTAGTCCAAAGTCACCAATTTTTACCTGAAAAATTTAAAACATGATATATATATGTAAATATTAATGCATATGGCAGTAAATGATTTCCTCAGATTTTAACCACAATTTTACCAGTTCTTATGTATAATTGTTTGTCCAAATGGACATAGTTTCTAATTTTACATGTTTTTATAAATAATTTGGAAACATTATGAAAAGTTTATGTAAGTTTAAAATCTGTAAATGATACAAAGGTCTCAAGCAATGAATGTGGGAATGAGCTCTCAAGCGATGAATGTGGGAACGAGCTCTCAAGCAATGAATGTGGGAACGAGTTCTCAAGCAATGAATGTGGGAAAGAGTTCTCAAGCGATGAATGTGGGAACGAGCTCTCAAGCAATGAATTATGTGGGAACGAGCTCTCAAGCGATGAATGTGGGAACGAGCTCTCAAGCAATGAATGTGGGAACGAGCTCTCAAGCAATGAATGTGGGAACGAGCTCTCAAGCAATGAATGTGGGAACGAGCTCTCAAGCAATGAATGTGGGATCGAGCTCTCAAGCGATGAATGTGGGAACGAGCTCTCAAGCGATGAATGTGGGAACGAGCTCTCAAGCGATGAATGTGGGAACGAACTCTCAAGCGATGAATGTGGGAACGAGCTCTCAAGCGATGAATGTTGTAACGAGCTCTCAAGCGATGAATATGGGAACGAGTTCTCAAGCAATGAATGTGGGAACGAGCTCTCAAGCAATGAATGTGGGAATGAGCTCTCAAGCAATGAATGTGGGAATGAGCTCTCAAGCGATGAATGTGGGAACGAGCTCTCAAGCGATGAATGTGGGAACGAGCTCTCAAGCGATGAATGTGGGAACAAGCTCTCAAGCAATGAATGTGGGAACGAGCTCTCAAGCGATGAATGTGGGAACGAGCTCTCAAGCGATGAATGTGGGAACGAGCTCTCAAGCGATGAATGTGGGAATGAGTTCTCAAGCGATGAATGTGGGAACGAGTTCTCAAGCGATGAATGTGGGAACGAGTTCTCAAGCGATGAATGTGGGAACGAGTTCTAATCTAAAAACATTTTCACTCATGTATTGGCAGAAGTGTAAGTATTACATTATGTACAAAGTAGTTGTAGAGTGTGATTGCAATGAGTCAAGACGTGTCAGAGAGTTGGTTCTAGAACATCATTCATTAACATAGAATATCATTCAGTATATTGAGTACCATCTGAAAAACATTATGTGCTCCATTATGTTCAATTTCTGTACCAAGTTTTAACAATAGCTGTACATGTAAGACCAAAATCTGGGTCCAGAAAGGTAGATTTTGATGCATTTTTAACTTTAAAATGGTGCCAATTGAGAATTGGATTTCTAAACGGATACATGTGCATATGTGTGACATGATGAATACTATATGTATATAAAGTCTGAACATAATTGGTCAAGGTATGAAGAAATATGACAAAATGGCTGCCAGTCGACCATTTTGAATCTGATTTGACAGGGAATGTCTAAGATACATGGGGGACACAAGGTGGAGATGCACATGAGGGCCTTGGGCAGACATCAAGTGGATTTGGGAATGTATGAGTGGACGTTGATATGTTAGGACGAACACAAAAAAATTTTGCAGAAATGCATGGATGTTGGAATCAATCTATAACGTTAATGTTTCTGAAAATAGTCCGAATGGGAACTAATAAATGATTTTACCTTTTCCATGGAAGCAAGAAGAATATTCCTTGTAGCCAGATCTCTGTGTATAAATCGTTTGAGTTCCAAATAACTCATTCCATTTGCAATTTGAATAGTGTAGTCACAGAGAGTTGAGATCATTATACGTCCATCTCGTCGTAATCTATCTAATAGAGCACCAAGCGGAGCAAGTTCTGTCACCTGAAACAAAATGACACAGTGAGAAATTATAGTTGGCAGACATGTAAAGAAGCTTATATGGAAGACATTATTCACTGTGATAGGAATGCCAAGGTATAATAAACATGCTTTTAGGACAAAAACAGCACATTGGGGGGGGGGGACTAAAAATTGTTTAATGTCAATAACTAGGATTTGTTCTTCCCCAAACTCAATAATTATAGGCAAACAATAAACCGAAAATAGGTGCATCACATTTACTATTAACTGTGTTAACCTGTCAGGGTCTGATATGCTGGAATACTTACCATCATAAATGGTGATGTAAGAACAACTCCATACAGTCTGATTAAATTAGGAAAGTCCAAAAGATGCATCACATTTACTATTAACTGTGTTAACCTGTCAGGGTCTGATGTGTTGGAATACTTACCATCATAAATGGTGATGTAAGAACAACTCCATACAGTCTGATTAAATTAGGATGGTCCAATAGGTGCATCGCGTTGACTTCTTTGACAAAATCATCAAACATTCCGGGCTGACAAAGAGCCTCACTTTTTAAACACTTAATTGCCACAGGAATCTACAAAAACAACAAAAAACAGATTAGTTTTAGTTATATGTGGAAATGCTGTAGACATGATCACTCAAAAGTCACACAACACGATACAATAATATACTTTTCCATTAACCTTTTCACCACCAATTCCTTCTTTTCGTCTGAAATTCACAAAATAGTCCTGTTTATAGTCTGCACTTTCCTTCAGAAGATCGGAACAAAAATAGCAACATTTTTCAAGTAAAAATTGAAAAATGAACCAAATTTGTCTGTTGGCGCCAAAATTAGAGTTCATTTCCAGAAATATTGAAGGAAAGAAAGTTTTAAAAAAAAGTGCATACAAATTTGGGCAAGAAAGTCTGGTGGTGAAAGGGCTAAAGCACTACAGTGCATGTATTTTCTCTATCAGAAGCATGTGTATTTACATAAATAATAGCATTTATGATTAATACAAGTCATATTTGAAATATCCAGCAATGTATAAATATAATTTTTGATATCAACTTCTATTACCGGGTAGATATGCACAACCACTGGAAAAAACATGGTGACCATGGAGACAATAATTGGCCTCTAGAAATATTCACAATTTGACCATTAATTCCACAAGGAATTCAGATGCCAAATAGAAAGTTTGTGTATTATTAAGTGAAAAATGTGAAGTACTATCCACTCACCAATATGTATATGATAAAATATTGAGAATTTGAATAGGTATTCTGAAATGTGCTGCAGAATATAAATTTAAGCTAGGTTTGGAAACAATAGACAAATGTTGCCACCATCAACAAAATGACTGTATACAGTCTGCTCTTCCCCCACATAAAATGTTGACAAACTTTTTGATCAACAAGTCATTGTCAATGACACGTCCCCGTTCCGTTCATATTTGAGTGACATATACATTCAAAGCAGATCATGACCGAAATGCACCTGCATATGTACAACACATTGTGCTAAATCTGAACAAAATCCATCCATGCATGACTGAGATCCGGTTCTGGAATTGTGAAAATACGTGATTTTGATGCATTTTCGGCCTTAAAATGGCCATCATTCCGCTATTGTTAAGCAGATCATGAAACAAATGCACATATCTATTTGTGACATGATGTACCATGTGTGTGTGAAGTTTGAACTTGATCAATCCAGACATGTCTTGGATACGGATCCAGAACTGAATTCTTTAACAAATGGCCGCCAGTCGGCCATTTCGAACTTGATCCGGAAAAAAAAAAGACGTG